GGGGCAGGACCACGTGTGCCCACGTGGGGGCATGCTGCTGGTGTGGGGTGACCTGACTGGCTCTGCCTTGTCATCTTGCGTAGGAGGCTGCACCTTTGTCGTGTTCTGGCTTGGAAATGTTCCTCCAGCATCTCTTCAATTCCAACCACTACAGTCCAAATCCTTTTTGAATTCCTCCTGCCACTCCCAAAAAACTGCACCGGTTGGTTCTTGTGGGTTTGGGCCAACTTCGAAGGATGGATTTAGACCATAGGCGAGTTTGACCGGTATACTACTCGAAGTATACCGGTCAAAGTTTTAGGTCAATCCTCTGACGATTCATCACTTCCTTTCGAGCTCGACTTTACTGACCGGTCGATTTTCTGGTTCGGATCTTTGACCGGTGGGTGAAATACACCCATCAATAAGCCCTCCACTTCTTGGTCATGCAATTTTGTCATGAGCGGGAAGTAAAAACTCTGAAACAAGACTCCAATTTTGAATTTCAGTTTTTCCCGCCTAAGGATTTCAAAATTCAAATTCGAACTCTGAATTCCGCCACGTGTTGGACACCTGTCGCGGCAACGGTCGGCTGTCGTTTCGTCTGCCAGGGTTATCATTGCGCCGCCTGGCGCGGAGCAATCGGAAGACGCCACGTCGCTCCATTCGGCCCTCCTCTTCCTATATAAAGGCATCCACCCCTCTCCTTCGCTCACTTTCCGCGATCAAGTCTCAGAGCTTTCACCGGCCAAGTTCTTTTTCTCGCTATCCAGCCCTCCGAGTCAAGTAAGTTTCCCCTTCCTTCTCTGCTTTCTTTCCCGGTCATGTCGTCTCTTAGCGATAGGATTCCGTCCTTAGAGGACTGTTCCTCTGAGGGCTCTAACTCATCTTCTTCGACCGGGCCTCCTTCTCTTGACCCCCTGCCCGGTCAGGCTCCCAACCCCTCCATACCTGAGCCGCAGCCTGTAAATCAAATGCCCGGTCAGGTTGCTACGGAGAGGGATGAACCGGTTGATGACGAACCGGGTCCCTATGACCCTGAAAACGAAACCCGGGATGCGTGGGAGGAGCGGCTTCACGCCGCCGGTTACTTTCCGCTCCCCACCTTCTACGTCCTTGACATTCCTTCCCATGTATCCAAAATCGCCTTGAATAAAATTCGTAGGAGGCTCCCGGATGGGTATACCCTCTTGTACGAACCCAACTGGCCCAACATTGTTGAACCCCACCGGGTAGATAGGATAGGGTTTCACACCATATCACTGGACGCAGGCATCGTTTTCCCCCTTCGCCCCCTCCTAACTGAAGTCTGCCATGCGTTCAGGATTTTGCCCGGTCAAATATTTGCTCCCATCACAAAATTGAGCCCTCCTTGCGTCTCTTTCTTTTCTGTTTCGAAGTCTTGCCGGGGGGAACCGGTTGCGAAGGTTTTGTGTACTTCAAAGGTCGAACCGGTAGGAAATTCATCTCTGACGTCCCTCAAAGCAACCGGGGATGGAAAGAAAAGTTTGTCTTTATTGAGTTCCCTCCTTTTGTCACCCCTTTGGCCGGTCTAAAATGGAACGACCATCTTCTTAACCACGAGTATGCCACACCGGCCACCTCCCCTGACTTGGAAGCGAGTCTGGAAATCCTCCTCCGCGGTGATCCACTCACTGGGAGGAAGTATAACTATGGAAGCTGGGTTTGGAGGGTAGAATCGGGTGGTGAGGGTACCTACCAGGCCCATGACGCAACGGGGCGCGGGGTACCCTCCCCGGGCAACACTGCAGAGGCTGAGGGCAACTCCCACTCAGGTATTTCTCGTTCATCTCGCGTCTTTTATTCAACCGGTATTGCCATTCATACTTAGCATTTTTTTTTCCTTTTTTCTTTTTTACAGACATGGAGTTCGAGGAGTATGCCATGCCTGAAGACAAGCCAGAAGGAGAGACCGGTGGTTCTCAGACTGGTGCCGCCAAAACTTTCACGGTCCACCCTGAGACCGTGGAAGTCCATGATTTGGACGATGATGAGCCCCCCACCGACCGGTCAAAAGAGAAAGGCAAGGAAAAGACCGGGCGTCGTCAGAAGAAGGTGGCCACCACCCACCCCTCTTATGCAAAGAAGAGGACAAGGTCAGGTTCTGAGCCGGCCTCCCAGACTATTGAAGAGGCCTTTGTTAACTTAGGCCTGAGACTGAAGGAGGTAAGGCTTTTCTCTATCCCGGTTGAATTTGGGTTACTTCCTTTGTAATGGTTTTAACCGGGTTCTCTACTTGTGCAGAAGGGGGAGATTGGGCCCTATGCAGTTGAACAGCTGGGGATGGGATCCCCTTCAGAGGTCGCCCGGCTAAAGAAGGAGAACGAAGAGATGGCCCTAATTTTGAAGAGCCAGGCAGATGAGCTGATCCGTCTGTCTGGTATGGCCGGGACAATGAAGACGGAGAACTCCCAGCTGAAGGAGGAGAACGGCCGGCTCATGGATGAAGTTTCTGAGGCTAAGAGGGAGATGGCGGAGAAGGAAGAAACCTTCCCCGGGCGCGCAGCCGCCTGGGTTGAAGAGAACAAAGCCGATGCTGCCCGGGTGATGACGGCGACGCCAGAGGCAACCATGGAATCCTTCAGGTTCCTATACCGGGAACCTGAAGGGAGAAAAATGATCACCGCCATCGGATCCTTTGGATTCAAGAGTGGTCAGAAGAAGGACCGGATCGCCTCCCACCGGGTTTTGCTGAAAAGGGACCCGGCTTTCACCGCTGCTTCCTACGGCTTGGCTCCGATCCCAGAAGAAGAACCAACTCCCCCTTTCCCCCTTGAATGAACTTCCCGGCTGCGACCGGTTAAGTCTTAATTTTGTAAAACTTTGAACTTATTTTCCCGGGAATGCCCGGTGTAACTGTAAAACACATAACATTCTTATTGCGTTTGAATGCCATGTTTGTTTTTCGTACTGTTTAAACTCCCTTATCTGCTCGCCCTTAATTGATATTTTGCTTTTGCTTCTTGAAATGCCTTCGCAAACCTTTTTACCGGTTAAGCTTCGATTCTTTGCTTTGCTTCTTGATAGCATCCAACCGGTGTAACTCCAGCTTGTTTTCGGATGTATTTAGGTTGAAGGGTGACTTGAACAAGCTTGACCGGTCGAACTCCAACTTTGACCCGTTGGACTCCAACTCGATGGTCAACCCGAGAATGTTCGACCGGTCGAACTTCATTTTGTTTTTTTGAACACCTTCGTCTTGTTCTGAAAGTGAAGCGCAGGTTGACCGGTAGGTCCCTTCTTCACGGTCTGACCGGTGAACTGCTTCGCCTTGTGGAACTTTCGAAGTTCCGATGTGCCACTACCCAACCGGGGTATTCTTTTTTTTTTTTGTTTGACCGGTAGGTTGTAGATGGAACACCTGTAACCTAGTGATTTCCTGAAGTATTCTTAACCGGTAAGAATACTGGAGATTTAACCATGTTCGGATGGTTTCGGACCCTCTCCAAGATCCAGATGCACCCTTCTTCCAGGGCCCCCTCTTCCGGGTGATTAAGTCTTTTAATGGCCCTTTGATTTCTACCATCCCGGGAAGGCCTTAGCTCACCCCCCGTTCAAGTCTTCCCTGAGAAGGGGGAAACAGGATGCGCCACGGTGGACGATCCCCTTCTATTTCTTTTAATGGGCATCTTTTAGTCCCCAATCAATTTGACGGTACCGGCTGATTCCCCGATACCGGTCAAACCTCATGGGCCCGTGTAAGTACGGTTCGAACCTTCTTCCAGGTCCAGCCCTCTTGCAGGCATACCCTCTTCCGGGCCCCTCTTCCGGGTTTTATATTTTTTCTATTATACTGAGCAAGACCGGTGTAGTAACCAGCGTGCCAGGTCCGAGCCTGTGTCTCAGTTGGCTTATCCGAGTGGATCCGATCCACCCGGGAAGCCCTCCTAGGATAGGTTCGACCTATCAATTATGCTGCTACCATGTAAAGTATCGAACTTTGATTTGATTGATAATTGAAGTAGGCCTTGCCTAGTATTACAGTCACTTGTAGAACTTGCGAAGATGGTGGGAATTCCAGGTTCTTTCAACCGGTACACCATCTAGAGTTTCTAACCGGTAGGTTCCCGGGCGAATGATAGTTCTCACCCGGTAAGGTCCTTCCCAGTTCTTGGCCAGCTTGCCTCCGTCTCCAGGTCTACTAGCCTCCCTTCTTCGTAGAACTTCATCACCGACTTGAAAGTATCGTGGTCCAACCTTGTTGTCGTGGTATTTTTTTACGACCTGTTGATATGTGCTCATTTTAACTTCCGCAGCCATTCTCCGTTCTTCGACCAAATTGAGTTCGGCCAAGTGATCTTCTTCATTTTGCTGGGGTTGATAATTTGATTCCTGAAATGTCGGGAATTCAGCTTCGATGGGCAGCCTCGCTTCACACCCATAGGTTAGGGAAAATGGAGTTTCCCCGTGAGCCCTCCTGGGTGTTACTCGGAACGCCAAGATGATATGTGGAAGCTCTTCCAGCAACTTGCTGCCCGCTTCTCCCAACCGTTTCTTTAGGCCATCCACAATCGTTCGGTTGGCGTTTTCAACTTGGCCATTTCCTTGGGGGTATGCCACCGAAGAGCGATTGTGCTTGATTCCGAAGCCCTCCAAGTATTCGGTGAATCTTGGATTTCGGAATTGTGGGCCGTTGTCGGTAATTAGGTTCATGGGAGCCCCAAACCTTGTAATGATGTTCTTCCATATGAACTTCTTGCATTGTTGCGTGGTGATATTGGCCAACGCCTCGGCCTCTATCCATTTGGTGAAGTAATCGATGGCCACGATTACAAATTTCTTCCTTCCTTGGGCGATTGGGAATGCCCCTATGATATCCACCCCGAACCTAGCGAATGGGATGACATTTGATACGGGGTGATAGTAAGTCGCCGGCCTACCGGGGTACTTGTAGAACACCTAGCAGGTTCTGCACTTCTGAACGTACCTCTCACAGTCTTGGACAATTGTTGGCCAGTAATACCCCAACAAGATGATGCGCTGGGAAAGGGTGCGCGACATTTGATGCGCCGCGCATACACCTTCGTGAACTTCTGCTATGACTCGCTCAGCTTCCCGGTTGGTTAGGCACCTCAGGAGTGGCCCCCCGAATGCCCTTTTGTACAGCTTCCCATCAAGGACTTGGAACCGGGGTGCCCTGAGCTTCACTTTTCTCGCCCGGTCATCCTGTTCTGGCAAGGTCCCATCCATCAAGTATTCCATCAGATCATATATCCAGTTGTCATCCGCCCCGATCAAGTTTGACCGGTCAGGTTGGCCAGCTTCCGTTATGGCGGCTACTTCCAATTTTTCAATGCTGGCATGATCAAGAATTTCTACCCGGGCAAGTTTTGAAACATGCTCGGGGGCATATTGCGTCAACTTTGAGAGAAGGTCTGCATCCGCATTCTCCGCCCGGGGGATTTGGGCAATTTTGAATTCCTCGAAGCCTTTCAACAAGGCAAGTATTAGGTCCTTGTACTGCGCCATTCGTCCTTCTCTAGCTTCCATGTTACCGGTCACTTACCCAACGATCAAACTGGAATCAGATTTGATACTGACCCGGTTGATCTTCAGAGCTTGGGCAAGTTTGAGCCCTCCTGCCAGAGCTTCATATTCGGCTTCATTATTCGTTAATTTGAAGTTGAAGACGATTGCATGGTAGATCTTGAACCCTTCTGGGGTGGTAAACACGACTCCACCCCCGTATCCTCTAGGGCCAGATGCCCCATCTACCGCCATCTCCCACCATTGCTCGGTGGGTTTGTTGACCGGTTCATCTGAAGTTATACCGGTCATCTCTACAAGGAAGTCCGCAAGGGCTTGCCCCTTGATTGCCGACCTTGGCCGGTACTCAATGTTGAATTGAGTTAACATCATCGCCCATTTCACCATCCTCCCGGAAGATGTCGAATTTCGCAACACTGCACCCAGCGGTTGATCAGTCAAGACTTCTACCGGGTGAGCTTGGAAGTAGGATGTTAACTTTTTTGCGGAGATGAAAAGCGCGTAGGCTGTTTTTTCCATCGCCGTGTACCTACTTTCTGCTCCGTTTAGTGCTTTTGTGCCCCATCATCTCTTATTAAAACAGAGCTTACAGCATTTGGGGAAATTCCCAGGTACAGATACAGAGTTTCACCCGGCTGGGGTTTAGACAATACAATATCTGATACTAGGTACTCTTTCAGCTCGTCGAATGCCCTCTGGCATTCTTCGTCCCATGCAAAAGTGTTGGCCTTCTTCAGGACTTTGAAGAAAGGCAATGACCTCTCAGCTGACCGGGAAAGGAACCGGCTGAGTGCCGCTAGACGACCGGTCAACTTCTGGACATCCCTCACAGATGTGGGGGCCTGCATTTCAGTGATAGCCCGTATTTTTTCTGGGTTGGGCTCTATTCCTCTCTTGGTCACCATGAATCCCAAGAACTTTCCGGTACGAACCGCAAAGACGCATTTCTTGGGATTCAACCGGAGGTTGTATCTTGCCATGATATCGAATGTGGCACGCATATCAGCCGGGTGGTTGAGGGATACCTTGCTTTTTATCAGCATGTCATCGACGTATGCCTCCATGGTCTTTCCGAGTAGTGGCTTGAAGAGCTTGTTAACCATGTGCTGGTAGGTTGCCCCCGAGTTCTTCAAGCCAAACGCCATCACCCGATAACAGTAGGTTCCTTCGGGGGTGAGGAATGACGTTTTTTCTTCATCTTCCTTGGCCATGTAGATTTGGTGGTAGCCCTTGAAGGCATCCATGAAACTTAGGAGTTCGCACCCCGCAGTTTCGTCCACCATTTGATCTGGGCTGGGAAGGGGGTATGGATCCATCGGACATGCCTTGTTCAAGTCCGTATAGTCCACACACATTCTCCATGTGTCCCCCTTGGGAGCAAGAACCACATTGGCCAGCCAATCCGGGTATTTAACTTCCCGAATGTGACCAACACTAAGGAGGTCCTTCACCTCCTTCTTGACGAAGTCTCGCCGGTCGCTGGCCAGGTACCTTTTCTTCTGGCGTACCGGTCGACTTCCCTCCCTTACTGCCAACCGGTGACAGATGATTGAGCGGTCAATTCCGGGCATATCTGCCACGCTCCATGCAAATATGCCCGCGTACTCTTGGAGCACCCGTGTAATCTCTGCCTTGAGATCTTC